CTAAACTATTAGAATTTTAGACTTGAGGATATCTAGTGATGGGAAATAGCGTATTACTGTTTGTAAAGAAAATATGATATAATTGTTTGTAAAGAAAATATGATATCATTATTAGGAACCAATTGTGGTAGATAAGAACACAATATATTGAAAGATATCTCTTCTACTACTAAAGTTTCCATTAAATATATAGTTGGGGTGGATGGGTTCCAAATGTCGATACTATTGTTGCTGGGCACTTTGCCAAAAGCTTTGTTTTGAACTTCCCTGTTAAGGAGTTACCTTCCTTCGATTTACTTGTTCAGAAACGATTATATTGCTAAAGGTTTCTTGTTTGTTACTGTCAGCTCGATGGGCCTTTATCGCTTCCTTAGGGATTATATGTGCTTATATGTCAGGTAAGCAAACCTTTAGAAGCACAACACGAAATGAAGAAAATAAAAACGGCACTGGAGTTGTGATTTTGATTTTGGGCACAGAAGTGTTATAACTATTTTGTGTACCATATGCAGAGGACTCCCGAGAAACCACGTTTGAACGACGTAACGGAAGTTGGCACTTGGCGAAAGACGGTTTTTACAACGGCAATTATCCTCGTAGTGTTGACACTCCTTCCAATGTGGGATGAACTTGCCGAAGAGTTGGGTATGGATCTTGTAACCACGTTTCGATTGCACTACTTGAGCCTGAAAGCCAATTTTGATGTCGAATAAGATGAAAGTAGCTATTTTTGCCGCCTTCAAGTGGATCGTTTCATCACTATCTGATTAGAAATTCATTTGACTTTTTTGTTTGTATCGTTTGTACGTGTATATAATTAAGTTGCTAGTTCATAATCAAGTCAATTGTTGTACTATTTTCGCACCTTTGATAAATGGCATACTGTTCAATCATTGTATGTTGTGTACATGATCTTAGTAAACTTGAATGAATAACCTTATTTTAAGTATAACTTCAGATGATCTGGTTTAGAAAAGAAATCAGTTTTGTTCGATTGATCACTTAATTTTATCTCTTAAGCACAATCTGGTATTGGAATACTATA